TTCTCAATCTAATTGTTCTATACATTTCTGACATTTTCACTGTCAGCTGGAACTGAGAAATTCAAGCATTATATTTTACTTGGCAATGGAAAATAGTTGGTGCTGATGATGCTGCATCTGTTGCTTATCTTTAGTTGCCGTAAGACAACATTGATAGCCTTCTCCATGAAGTGCTGCTGATGTAAAGTGAGGAACTCAGCATTTTGACATCAACAATGAAATAATATATCAAGTTGGAAAGTATGTGAAATATAAACTGAAATGAAGGAAGTATTCAGCAGGTAAGGCAGCATTTGTTAACAGAAACAGCATTGTTATGAAATGTGTTATCCAAAATACTAATCTAAATATCATCAACTGAACATATATGTCTTGGACTTATTGGAAAAAGCTCTTTGCAAAACAAAGGACACTGTTTAAGGAGATAAGGAGAACCACCAATTTGACTGAGACAACACCAAGATCCTGGGGCAAGCAAAGCAGAGACAAGCACGGGAAATCCTAGAAGCTTGATACTCCACGAAGAAAGCCATCAACAAATACATAGATCTCAACCCTATATACACTCCACTGCGAAGGAAAACCGGAAGTGAGGTAATCCAGCTCAACAGACTCCAGAGTTTAAATAACAGGCGGGAAAACACAACGGTGCTTCATCAGAACTGCACTGATGATGTTAGTCAACAGGGTAATGAAACATCTGCGAAACAACGAACCAGCTTGGTGAGCCAACCAATTAGAACTAGTGCAGTTTGCAGAATGGCCAACATGAGTTGCACCGAGTGTGAAGCCTGCCAGGTTGGTTTGCCTGTGTGGGGATTTCAAACAAACTGTGAACCATTTTTTGCAGCTGGATAAAAACCCAATTCCTCACATAGAGGAATTGCATGTAAAAACTGGCGGATGGGAGCTGTCCTTCACGAAGCTGGATATGAGCCATGTATATCTGCAATTGCGATTAGACGAGGATTCCCAGAAGTATGCCACAATTAATACCCATAAGGGTTTGTACTAATATATGAGACTGCCTTTTGGGGTATCATCAGCCTGTGCCATTTTCTAGCAGATGATAGAAAACATTTTACTGGGTCTGCCCCAGGTCGCCGTTTATCTGGATGATATATTAATAACCAGGAAGGCCAATAAAGAGCAGTTAGATAACTTGGATCTAACCCTTAACCATTTCTCCAAGGCGGGGGTACGCCTTAAGAGGGAATAATGTGTGTTCCAGGTACCCCAAGTGATTTACTTGGGCTATAGAGTCAACAAGACCAGCTTACACCCATTGGAAGATAAAGTGAGGGCGTTCAAAGGTGCCCTAATTCCATATCTGTACTGGAGCTTAGGTCTTTCGTTGGATTGGTGAATTATAATGGAAAATTCATATGTAATTTGGTCTCCATCCAGGCACCCTTACATTTGCTATTGAAAAAGGGTCAACTTTGGAAATGGTCTCGTAGCCAAGATTGTAGCCTTTAGGGAAGTGAAGAAGCAGCTAAGGTGTTGGCTCACTACGATCCCAAGCGGGATGTATTGCTGATGTGCGATGCCACCGTGTACGATATCGGGATAGTGTTGGTTCACTGGTGGCCCAGCGGAGCAGAATGCCCAATAGCGTATGCTTCCCAGACTTTGGCTGATGCCGAACAAAATCACGCCCAGATAGAGAAGGAAGGTTTGGCAGTCATCTTTGGTGTGAAAGTTCCACAAGTACCTTCACAGATGTAAATCTGTAATAGGAACGGACCGGAAACCCCTGCGAGGGCTACTTAAAGAGGACAGGGCCGTGCTGCCCATAGCTTCAGGTTGAATTCAACGAATGGGCCCTTATTCTTAGTGCGTACAATTACAAGTTGGAACACCGACTGGAGGTCAAGTAGCAAATGTGGATGCCTTGAGCTGCCTCCTACTGTCGGATAAATCACTAGTGGTGCCGCCACTGGAAGAGTCCATTTCTGGACACCCTTCTCGTCACCGCTGACAATATCAGACTGCGGACACAAAAAAGTCTCATCCTGGCAAAACTAAAACAACTGGTGGTGATGAGGGAATTAAAAGGGTTGTCACAACTAGAATTGAAACCTTCCTGGATCCAGCGAGACCCGATCACTATGGAGGACGGCATATTATTTTGGAGAGCAAGAGTGATCGTCCTGAGTAAAGGTTGCCGACAGATACTGGCTGAACTCCACCAGGATCAGCCAAGGTTTCCAAAATGAAGATGTTGGTGAGAAATTATGTCTGGTATTCAGGATTGGATGGCACATAGCCACATTGGTGGGGCAGTGCCCTGACTGCCAACAAGGACGAAAATTACTGCCAGTAGCTTCCTCACTTAGGCGGATATGGCTGGATAAACCCGGAACTCGGTTACATGTCGACTATGCTGGTCCTTTCGTGGGCTCTATATTTTTTGTGATTGATGACCCCATTCAAAGTGAGGTCATGCATGGAGTTCATTCATCAAATACAGGGATGCAATTGAAAAGTTGTCAGTATGTTTTGCGATACATGGACACTCAGAGGTGCTAGACACAGACAACGGACCATCATTTACGAGCTGGGAATTTAAGTATTTCCTAAAGTCGAATGGCATTCAGCATGTTCAGATAGCTCCAAACCATCCATCGTCCAATGGTCTGGTGGAAAGAGCAGCCTAAACTTTGAAGGCAGGCTTAACAAAACAGCTTACAGCTTTACTCAATACCAAACTGGCCTGGTTCCTGTTTGATTACAGGACCACCCCTCCCGCAAATACAGAGACAGCTCCAGCAGAGTTGTTAATGGGGAGAAGACTTAGCACTAGGATAAATCTGATTTTACCGGACCTGGGGGAGGAGAGCGAAATGGCATCAGGAACTCAGTGCCGGACAGAAAATTCCTCTAAGCGAGAGAGGTAGTTTATTTTAGCAGACGAAGTTTCGTTTCGAAACCATGGGCATGGCCCTGCATGAGTAAGAGGCATGGTTGACGTGAGGTCAGGTCCCATGATGTACAAACTTCGGGTAGAGAGGCTGTACTGAACAAACAGGTGGACCTCATGAAAGCTGAAACCTTGAAAACAGGGCAGGACAAAAACATATCTGGCCCCTCAGAACATCCAACAAGGCTATCAGAACCTATGGATTCTCCTCCTCTGCCTAGTGTAAAAGAAACCTCTGAGGACAAGATGGACGGGGCAAATGTTACAGCCTTGATGCCATTACCACCTGAAGAAGATGAGTTTTGGCTGAGACACTCAGGGCACAAGAGGCAGGCTACAGTCTGGTACTTGCTGTCAGTATTTGAGGCACAGTCAGAGGAATTCGACCTGGTGCGAAAATGACCTGGGAGAAGCTACAAGAAAAAGTACAGACCTACGTCCCAGGACTTAGACGAGGAGGGTTGTAGTGACTGGAACAAGGTCAGCCAGATGGATCCATAGAATATGATTTCCCTGATGGGCCAATCAGCGAGTCCTGGCTGACAGATATGAACAGGAGTGTCAGGGGTTCTGCTCACTCTAGGTACTGGTTCTGTGCCAGCTGGGTCAGTGTCATGTACTATGCATGCATGAACAAAGGGTGACTTGGTGACGGAATACTGGCCTTTGTGGAGTTATTTCACTGCCAATGTTTCAGTGTTGTTGAATGGCACATCCCAAAGTTCAGAACTGCAAATATATACTGAGGGATGCACAAAAGCTTGGGACAGCTGACCCAAGACTCATTGACGATAAACTACAGTCTAAGATTCTTCTGCCATAGTAAAGTGCTGGAAACTGTGTACAATACCTTAGCTGTATTCACTTGGGAATGTTTTACGTGGAATGTATAATGTATATGGTAAATCTGATTTACTATTATTGCAATTGTAATTAGGCACCTCAGAGTGTGATGTACTGCATTTGACTAAAATAAACTGTATTGCATTTTGTGTAATGACAAACTTTATGAATAAAGCATGCTTTTTGAAAGGAAAAGTGAGTTGACTGGCCTTATGGTATTATCACTGAACTATTGATTCAGAGACCCAGATTATGTTCTAGGGATCCAGATTCAAATCCTGCCATGGCAGATAGTGGAATTTTAATTCAATTAAAGAAAACTTGGAATTAAGTCTAATGATGATGATAAATCCATTGCTGATTGTCAGGAAAAATCCGTCTGGTTCACTAATGCCCTTGCGGGAAGGAAACTGCCATCCTTACCTGCTCTGGCCTACATGTGAGTTCAGACCCACAGCAATATGGTTGACTCTTAACTACCCTCTGGGTTATTACAGATGGGCAATAAATGCTGATCTATGCACTAATGCCCACCAATGAGCTATAAAAATTGTTTTTGTTTTCTTTACCTTTTTGTCACTACCTATAAAAGTATCTCTCTTAGATTCATAGTACAGATACTGCATGGAAGGAGGGCATTCAGCGATTATCTCTATACTAGCTCTCTATAAGAGCAACTCAAGTAATCCCACAGATTGTCTTTTCCTTGTTGCCTTGTTGCAACTTTTTTCTCACTTCAGATAATTATCCAATTTTTCCTTTGAAGGCTTCAATTAGGTTTACCTCTTCCATGCTCTCACGTAGTGCATTCTATGTTTGAAACATTTTACTTCATGTCTGTTTCCTTCTTTTGCCAGTTTCCTTAAACTGGCTTCCTCTGCCTTTCCAATATTGGGTACTCCTCTCCATCTACACTATTCAAACCCTTCATGATTATTAATAATTGAATCAAATCTCTTCTTAATATTCTCCAAGGAGAACAGCTTCAGCATCTTCCAACTTTTCCATTTAGCTGAAGTTCGTCATTCTTGGAACCATTCTTGTGAATATTTTCTGCACCTTCTCATAGCTTCCCTAAAGTGTAGTGCCCAAAACTGAACACAGTAAAGGTGAAGCCAAAAACTATTCTATTCTTTCTCCAGGTTTAGCAGAAAGTCATTTCCTTTACATTCAATGGCCCTATTTTAAAAGATCAACATCACACATGCAATTATGAACTATCTTTTCAACTTACAGTGCTACTTTGAACAAATTGTGCGCGTGTAGTCGCCGGGTCCTTCAGCTTCTGCACCCCATTTTTGAATTATATATTCTATTTTATTTTGCCTCTCCAAAAACGAATCAATCGACACTTTTCTGCATTAGAATTCCAGCGTTCTGACGATCACCCATTTCATCAGCCAAAGTCCTCTTGAGATTTAACACTATCTTTCTCACTGTCGAGTGATTACCCATTTCATCAGTCAAATTCCTTTGGAGGTTTAATACCATCTTTCTCACAGTTCACAACATCTTCAATTGTTGAATTTGGGTCTGCGATAAAATCAAGCAAGCCAGCGGTTCTGTCAGGATGCCTGAGGAATTCTCACTGTACGTTTGCCCCAGTCTGAAAAATAACCATTCGCCACGAATGCCTCCAGTTACTGAGCAGTCATCCCTGACGCTCCTCTCAGACGGCTTGCAGGTCCCAGTTTGCGTGCTTCTCCTGCCTTTGACCGGGAGTAACCTCCGCCAGCGGCGTTGACCTTTGCCCCGATCGCCGTGGCGCTGGCGCTCCCATCATCATTATGGCTGCCTTCAGTAAGAGTATCCCGCACGGCTGCTATGAGATCGGCCACACATGGAGCACTTCCTGTACTACGTCCGCCTTCCAAGTCACTGTCGGAGCTTTCCAAGAGTCCCTGAAAATTTATGCGCCTCTGTACATCGTGAGTACCGTCGTACGTTGTAAGAAAGCGGGACGCTGAGAGAACGAGTGTTGGGGCAGGCCTGGTGGCTGCTAAAAGGAAACAGATTATTGAGATGGGGAACGGCTATGAGAGGAAACCCTTACATAGCCTACTAGTTCTTAAACTCCTCCTGCTCCTCAGTGTAGCTACAACACAAGCTGCGTTGCCATTAAAAAGAAAAGGAAGGCACTGAGTTTAAAACAATACAAACGTGACAAAATGTCATACTAGGAGTACTGCAAAACATTGGGTGAATAGGTTTTGGGAATAAACTTGTAGGAGAAATGACCTCTGATTAGTACTATACGGTCTCCTCAGTAAAGATTAGCCAATATAATCTTGTTCCCATTTATACTACTTTTCTGTGGCAATGTTCATTATATTTTGAAATCTTAATTCAAAGCTGGCATTGGCAGGTGCAAAGAAAATATACAATTGGATGTAGTGTATACTATTTTATGAAGTGTTACTGTGTTAAGTGAATGTAAAATGTGTAGCAAATAAACAAGGATTTTGGATGCTGGAAAATGCTGTACTGAATTATTTTGTTTTAACTACAGGCAAGCTACACCATTGTTTATTTGCATTTGATGCGATTATTGTCACATGTACTGAAGTCCAGTGAGAAGTAATGTTTTGCGTTCCAACCAGACAGATCATACTTTGCATATGAATAGAATGCAGAATATAGTGATGCAGTTACAAAGAAGGTGTAGAGGAAGATCAGCTCTAATATATGAGAGGCTTGTTCATAAGTCTGATAACAGAACAAAGATGTGCAGGCTAGGTGGATTAACCACGGGAAATGCAAGGTTACAGGGATAGGGTAGGGAGGTGGACCTGGGTGGGATGCTTTTCAGGGGGTCAGTGTGGACTCGATGGGCTGAATGGCCTGCTTCCACACTGTAGGGATTCTGTTATCCTATGAATAGTAGGGAAGCAGCTATTCTTAAATCTGTTTGTACATATTTTCAAACTTTTGCATCTTCTGCCCAATGGAAGAGGATTGACATGATTATAACCTTGTTGGAGGTGTCTTTGATTATGATTGTAATCTTTGGATTTCATATGCACATTGCAATACTGTTATTGTTTAATATTTCAGTATTAACAGTGTTCTTTCAATTACAGTCCACCTTAACTTTATGTGTTTGTATTCAAACCTTCATTTGTAATTTACTGTTAATGACCGCGAAGCAAACATATATTTTTAATTTAACCAAAAATGTTTGTTTAACCCTTAATGGAATGAAGTATCTAGTATTATTATTTAGTAATGGAGTGCACAGCTTATTTCAAAATGATATTTATAGAATTCAAATTATTATGTTTCATCTGAAAATGTTCTCGCATTATATACTTAAGTGTTCAATCTATTTTCTTGTATTGGTTATTCTTTTCTTTTGTTTTTAGGATTGGGTACTCTATTACCAAAGCTGGTATTTGCTTCTCATCCTTAGTTTCTCTTGAAGCTGGTAGTGAGGTCCCTTCCTATACTACTGCAGCTTGTGTGTGGTGAAGCTGCTACCTGTTAGGTAGCGCTTTCCAAGATCATGACCAAGTGATGATGAAAGAACAGCGATTCATTTCCACGGCAAGATGCTGTGAAGCTTGCAGGAGAATTTGGATGCACTGGTGAACGCATGCACCTGCAGTACTTCCCTTTCTATGGTAGTGCTGAAACTTTGAGGCTACAAATCATAGCTACTGGAAAACATTACCTCGAAACCAGATATCTGAATGTCTGACGTTTCGGGCTAGACCCTTCATCAGAAATGGGGGAGGGGAAGGGCGTTCTGAAATAAATAGGGAGAGAGTGGGAGGCGGATAGAAGATGGATAGAGGAGAGGATAGGTGGAGAGGAAACAAACAGGTCGAAGAGGCGGGGATGGAGCCAGTAAAGGTGAGTGTAGGTGGGGAGTTAGGGAGGGGATAGGTCAGACCTGGGACGACGGACAGGTCAAGAGGGCGGGATGAGGTTAGTAGGTAGGAGATGG